ATGGAGCAATTCTTGTCACTTTTAGATCTAAACTCTCCTTCTTCTCTTATTGAAGATCATGATTTCGAACATATAGCCTTTCAAAGCAGGGTAGAATGTGTAATCTATCAAACTTATGAGAACTTCTAACATTGCCATGTGGAGTAAAAAGTGCACCTATACTTATTCCAGAGCTTAATTCTTCTAAGTGGAGGGATTTGTTATCAGGTGTAGGATAGACCTTTCCCCATGCTGAAACCTTTAGAAAAGCATTGTACAAATATAGTAATGCCCATAAGTTTCCATACAAATATAATAACAATAGTATAAAGAAAATGAGAGTGATATATGACATTGAAGGCTGCCCTTAGAAGATCATAGCATATGTAGTGGAAAGAAAGCTTCATTTCTACGTGTGAAGACATTTAAAAATGAGCACATACATTATGCACAATACAATTTGATTGTTACCCAAGGGAAAGTTCAAGTCTAACATCATGTATTGTACTTGAGGATGTGAGGTTTCATGTAGACAAACGTCCTAATGACATTAGGAGAGAGTTACAAAGAGAATATGGTGTCAATCTGACCTACAAACAAGCATACAGAGCTAAAGGGAAGGCATTGGAAGAGATCAATGATTGATCCGACCAATCTTATATGTTAATTCCATAGATTTGTGACCGGTTAGTGAAAATGGACCTAAAAATAGTTGCTAAGTGGGCTGCAGCTAACAGTAACAGGTTTGAGCATATCTTTATAGCTTATAGTTGTTGTATAGAAGGGTTCACGCATGGTGCAAGACACATATTATACATAGATGGTAGTCATCTAAGTGGTCCTTATAAGGGGACTTTGCTATCAGCATTTGCTTATGACGCTGATAATGAGTTATTTTCCTTTGCTTATGCCATTGTGAAAGGGGAGGCATTTGAAGATTGGACTTGGTTCTTGTACATGGTGAAAGAAATAATAGGTCCAATGCAACTTGCAATAGTTTCAAACTGACATAATGCCATAATAGCTGTTGTTCAAGCTATCTTTAGAGGTGAGCAACGTGCATTTTGTTACCATCACATTAAGGAGAATTTAGTGCAGAATTTTTGAAAATTAATAGAGGTAAGAGAAGGACAAGTGGGTAGGGTAAGGATGATGCATTAAACTTGCTTGAGGGCATCGCATATGCAAGGCTTGAGGATGATTTTAATGAGGTAATGGGAAACATGAAAAATTTCAATCCAAAATTAGGTTAATGGCTTGAAAATCATAGGGACATTGATAGGTGGTCTTTATTTAAGTTTTCATATAGAAGATAGGACAATATAACCACAAATCTTACAGAGTCATTTAATTCATAGATGGTCACTGAGAGAAGGCATGGTGTTGTACAATTGATTCATGAGCATAGAGAAAAGGTAGTACACAAAATGCATGCATCCAAAATGGCTCTTAGGAAATGTTGTTGGTCCAAAAATTAGACAAAACTAAATGACCACATGGCTAAAGCTGAACAAATGTTTACAAAGAATTATGGAGGAAGTAGGGTTTATGTACATACTGCACATAGGGACATGAATGTTGATCTTGGCTTACGTGAATGCAGCTGTGCAACATGGAAATGTCAGGGATTCCTTGTCCACACTCTTGCTCTGCCACCAAGCTAACACATGGCAGTGTGTATAGTTATGTGGAAGATTGTTACAAAATTATCGCATAAGAGAAGATATATTGTTATACCATGACTCTTGTTGTTATAATAGACATGCCCCATCCAAATGACTACAACATTCTAAATATTAGGGGCCAAGTCTTCCTCTAACCTCTAAGGACTAATCGTCCTCTTGGGAAGCCATGAACTCCTAGGAAGGAGTCACAGTTTCAAAACAAGAAGATTTATCACTGTTCACTATGCCATCAACTAGGCCATACACGCAAGACTTGTAAGAATCCTAATCCAATCTAGGATATGATGTAGATATGACACCCTTTTGCATATATTTTGTAAATATTAGTTGTCTTTTATCTTGCACAGTATGCAAAGATGACTATTGTTTTCTTGGATTATGAATATGACAGCTGAAACTTCTTATGTATAGAAGATTCAACAGTTCATATATTTTTGTCAAGAGGGTTGTAGGGTATTTTGATATAAGTTGTGGATCATGTAACTGACAATAAACCTTAGAGCCATTTATGTCACTTTTTAAGATTTTACTATCATTTAAATTAATGAAAGTTGTTATTTGTTAGATTAGAGTAGTATTTCATTTTTTGATAATTCAATCAATTTACAAAGAGTACTAATAAATTGCAATTCCTTATTACGTAGTTGCAAATATAGGAACAAAACTTGTTAATGTGAATAGAGTGTTGTGAATTTTTAACTTTAATTTAATGCTTGTCTGGACTTGCACACCAAGACTTGCGAATGGCTAATGCATAGTTGCGAATATAAGGACAAAACTTGTTAATAGTTGAACTAAAGTTATGAACCGGGTGCTATGAATTTCCAACTCTGATGCTTGTTTGGACTTGCATACCAGGACTTGCAAATGGCTAATGTGTAGTTGCGAATATAGGGACAAAATTTATTAATAGTAAAACCAAGGTTGTGAATTTTCAACTCTGATGCTTATCTAGACTTGCACACCAGGACTTGTGAATGACTAATTCATAGTTGTGAATATAAGGATAAAACTTGTTAATAGTAGAATCAAAGTTGTGAACAGGGTGTTACAAATTTTCAACTCGGATGCTTGTCTGAACTTGCACACTAGAACTTACGAATGGCTAATGTATAGTTGCAAACATAGGGACAAAACTTGTTAATAGTAGAACCAAAGTTATGAACAGGATGTTGTGAATGTTCAAGCACCAAGCTTTGTCTAGACTTGCACACTAGGACTTGCGAATGGCTAATAAATAGTTACAAATATAGGTACAAAACTTGTTAATATTAGAACTAAAGTTGTGAACGAGGACTTGTGAATTTTCAAATACCAAACTTTCCTTGCTAATTTTTTTCCTTAATTCTTTTTATTACTTTAGTTTACCTATATTTTATATTCAAAATGAACTTTTGAAATTAAAAAAGATAAAAATATCAAATGCTCTTTTATGAACAAACTTTTGATAAAAATCAAATATACTTAATTTCTCACATTTTCCTTACACTAGTGAAATGAATCAACTAACAAACTTACAAGAAATAATATGTCAAATAGATTAAAGTTATCATGAAATAATTTAATTTGTTTAATTTTAAAATTGTAAAAAATTATATCTTTATAATCACTTGATTATTTTGGTTATATAATTACCTTTTTTATCAAAGGTGAAAATTATAATTGATGAATTATATATATATATATATATATATAAAATTATAATTCATTCAACTACAATTTAACTATAATCTAACTATGATCAAATTGATCAATTATACACTAACTTCATTCATTAAAGGAAACATTAGTATCAATTGGTATAAGTAATTACAAACTATGATCAAATCTGACCATATAAGATTAAAGGCAACATAACAACCTTACAACTTTAGGCATTCTGCTCTAGCTAAATACATCAAAGTATTGCTAAGATAATACAAAGCCTTGTGATCCTTTTTTCATGAGAAAATAAATGAGAAAATAAACGTTCAGCTATAGTATCAATTCTATTAAGTATCACACAAAATGCATCAAAATATTGCTAAGAGAACACAATATATATTAAGGGAAATGGTTGTGTTAGGTGGGTGAAAGTTAAATATGATATTAGTATCAATTCTATTGAGCACTATACAATTGGCAATCCCTATTCAAGAGGTCCTTACACATATTAACAAATATTCAAATAGTGATTATACCTTTATATACTAAGTAGTTATTGACAATTATTAACATCCCTCTTTATATACTAAAGTGGCTACCCCTTTCTCTTTCTTGTCTTCTCTTCATCAAATAATTTTGAGGCCACCTTCTTTTTTTTTCTGGATGATTAATTAGCCACCACAAAAGCTCAGTCCTAAAGTTAGTAACTTCTTCTTGCACCAAAGAAGGAATAACACACAAGTTGAAAGAATAATCACAAACAAAGAACAATCCTAAAGTAGAAAGAGCAACATCAAAGAAATGCAAGTATACATCAGTGATGTCCTGCGACACTGTGGAATCCCATATCTACAACTAAATCATGACAAGAACTTCACAATATTTCCTGCAAACATGTAGCATATAAACAATAATCACAATTGGTCAAAGAAAAAGGCACTACATAAACAAGATAAGCTATAACAAGAAGTAGAGAATGCATAGATTATTTTGTTGGGGTACCAGAAGCCAAATAACATCAGCTATTGGTTTCTTCTTGATAAAGCCTGGGTTTACCAACTCAATAATGTCAAAGAATCTATTTTACTGTAAAGAAAAAAATTCATATTATCAAAACATGCACACAAGACATACCAAGGAGTTGGCTAATAGACCATACACATGCATTCACCAATAATCTTTTCATCTAAGGCTCTATCTTTTTTCCTTTTTTCCTTGGTTCAAACCACTATCCCTTTTTAATGAGTCGAGGACTTAGAAGTTTAGTGTCTTCGGCTCTAGCACAAAACACATCCAATGATGGTTCATAAGAGCTGGATCGACGATGAGATCACATTCAACTATATTGTATCTTACATATTCAGGCAAGATATCCCTCTTGTTCTTTGCTGCCTTCCAAATAAGGGGATTTGATGTCATTTTACACTACGAATAAGAACATATTATGCAACAAATTAAAAAAAACAAAACATAGTAAAGAGAACATTTCAAATTTAATTTCACTGGAAGCTAACCATGAAGTTAACACCAAATATATGATGATAGACTGGACTTGAATCATTGATATCACCCATTAATGCATGGCATAGCATAGTCATGAACTACAACCACTAAGGAGTTTATGTTATTTGTACATTACTATGTGCAAATTATAACAAAACAAATTTAGACATTGTCTCACCCTATTATTAATCCACTGTATTCCTCAAACATCAAAATTCATCACGAGTGAAATATTGATCATACATTTCAACCAAGATCTTGAAATAGGGAATAATAAATAAATTCTCTTAAACTGTCGGAAATGAATGAAAAATTAGGCAACAAAGACTACTTACTCGCCACTTTCCTCCCTTTTACACATGTGTGATACAATTGAAAACAATTTTCGTTTTTCATCAACCTTCTTCTTCATCCTATTCACCAGCTTCAATATAAGTTAAGGAGACCTAATAGTTGGCATTTTTGTTCTTATAGATCTCCTAGGTTATCATTTACTATCATCTTCCTTAAATTCCTCCTCTAATTTTTCCTCTTTGCCCTCTTCTTGGGAAGACACATGAATTAGAGATGACAAATCATCAATTTGTTCTTCTTCTCCTCCTCTTCCTTCATCACCTCTACCTTCCTTTTCATCATCATCTTCTTCGTCTTCTCCTTTATCTTCTTCTTCTTCATCTCCTCTATCTTCACCTTCTCCATCACCTCCATCTTCTTCTTTTCCATCTTTTTCAAACTCAAAATCTACCTTGTCTTGTTCTTCGAACTCAAAGGCCAGCTTGTCTTCACTATCATATCCCACCTGGTCATCTTCCTCAACTTCAACACTTGACTTGCCTTTCTCTTTTAATTTCTTCGATGCTTCCCTTTTCATCTACTCCTTTCTGAACACAGATTTGACATAAGCAATTAATTTTTGGTAATTTTTCTTCAATAACCCTCATTACTGTTGAAAATGCAAAGAAAAACAACTTGTTTTACATGCCATTTTGTCCAAAACAGTGAGAAATAAATAGCGGGTCTAGATATGATATCGTCGGTCTTTTCTTGGTAATGGTGGAAGGGGGCTCTCCTATAGAAGCACTATAAAGCAACCCAATATTGTTGTCTCTCTCTTTTTGTAGTCTTTCCTTGGCTTTGTTATCATTCCAATATTGGACATGATCACTTGTTTCGACCAATGAGAAATGCTTAAAAAAATATATCTGCATAAACATACATATAATTATCACATTATGCTTACGATGAACGCATTACTGTGAAAGGAATACCATAAATTCATCTATACATACCACTTGTAACACCCTAAATTTTTTTAAAAAAATAATTTAACTCAACCATAGCAGAAAAGTGTCTATCATGGTAAATAGAAGTCAACTTATCCTATATATTTTTTTTTGAAACAATTCGATGATTTAAAACACTACCATGATAGAAAAGATTAAACCTCCTTTTAAATAATACAAAACAATTTATACCACTAATATACATTTACAACCATAATTTGGTTACAGCCACCCAACACATTTTATATCAATAAATTCAATATAAAACATTTTATAATTGGTTTAAACTTGCACAATACAACATCTCAGATAAATTTTTACTTCCCACATATCATTAGGCTAAAACCACATTTTCCATCCTTATACTTCTAACAAGTGCAAACCATAAACCAATAACTAACAACTTAATCAATTCCCAAAACAAGCCAATTATTTAATTTCATAATTATGCCATTTCAAACCATCCAAAATAAATCAGAGATCAAAGTTACAGTCATCCAAAGTGTACTAAAAGTAGAAATAGTTTGAAGGACATGATTACATCATTACATTCATATAATTGTCAATAAACAAAAGCCCTAGTATTGGCAATATAACACATTAAAAATTATAAATCAAATACCCAAAGGAGACAGTGGACCTATGTCACTATGCCTTAGGGACTCCTCTACGCGCCACTCGTGGCTCTTCTCCTGAAAATTGTTAACCACATAATGAGAATCAAGAGTCTCAATAACCAATATCAATTTATGATAGTATATGCAAATAGTTAAATGTGTGCTTGCTAAGTGGGGAATTAACAGTCATATAATTCTAATAAAAATACAAGAAATATTACAATACATAACAAACAACCATCTTTATCTCCCTCCATTAACCTCGAGCCGTAGCCCTTAGTTAGTGCTAAATTACCCGACCAAAGGTAGATTAGTTCGAGCCCTTACAAGCCACCTATTGGGCTCCAATAGGGGCATACTACGTGGCACATAAATATAACAACAAAAACTAATCAAACAAATTCATAACAATATTGTACAATTATACATATTACAATCCTCATAATTTTTTCATTTTTAACAATATTATAATATGACATCCCACTTGGCAAAATACTTCAAAATGCAAATCCACAATTTTTTCATAAACATAATAAGGTAATTTTCAATAAAAATTTATAATTTTCTCAATAATCACCCAATTAACATGAAGTAACATTAAACACAAATAAAAAGCATGATTATCTTGTGGCTTTTTTCAATAAACTATACCTTAGAATTTCTCTCCTACCACAATCTTCACCAACACAATTTACAAATAACATATTATTTATAAATATTAGTTTTAATAATTGAAGCTAATAAAATAACTCTAAAAATAAGATTAGAGATATAACATAATTTTTAATCTCAATCTTAATATAAACTGAGTTAGTACTATTAAGTAAAATTTTTAACTCCTCTTTTAGTCATCAAGAAATATTATTACGCTAAAATCAACCTCTAAACCAATTTCTATTATCAAAATTTTCTTTTTATTACATAAATTCGCACTTAAAATACCCAAAAATTGAAAATTAAGTCTCAAGTTTAGAATCATCATCCTATAGCCATAATAATCCACTTCTCATCTTAAATAATCATCTAAACCTCAATAAATCAACATATATTTTCAGATTTTATAAAAATTTAGCCTAAGATTTGATCCATAGGCCTCAATTTCAAGTTTATCAACAAATTTATAATCTAGAATATTTATTATACTACTAACAAACTTAACAACCACATTTATTCAACAAAAAATCTATCCCTCTTTCAAACTCTAGATTTTCTACCACTATAAAATCAAAAACCAAAGAGAAAGGATAGCTAAAAAAAATTTTAAAACACTTACTTAATCTTAAAAAGCTTGAAATCAAACCTTAAATATCCTATCAAGTCTCACCTTAAAAAAACGCAGCCCACAGCATCGACAAAAATGCGTTCTCTCTGTCTCAGCTGGCGCACCAGAAAAAGCAGTGAACAGATGAAGGAAAAGGGGTGAGTTTTTGAAAAAAAACACTGTGGGTCCCACTCTTTTTTTTTCTTTCCTTTCCTTTGTTTGTTTTTTATATATATATATATATATACATACACATGTACATCACACTACGCACGCGGAAAAACATCTCCAACCTTTATTCTTTTTTTTTAATATATATATATATATATATATATTTATATGTGTGTTTGTACGTTACACAGCACGCGGAGAAACGTATGCCCCTCCATTCTATTTTTTTTTATTCTTTTTATTTTTTACACACACACTCATATATATATATATATATATACACATTTCATTTCTTAGTCTCTCCTTCTATTATATTTCTCTTTCTCTTTCCTAATAATGATGATGATGAGATGATGATGATGATGATGATGATGATGATGATCTTTAAAATCTTACTTAGAATTATATCTTAAGTTAAATCTAATAATCATCTCCTATTAATTTATTTACCTCTAAATATTCTTCAAAATTTCTATGAATCCAAATTAACTATTAAAATTTAAATTGGGATGTTACAATTCTCTCCTCATTTTAAAAATTTTTATCGTCAAAATTTGAAGTTAATAACTATTTACTATGTACCTAATCAAAAAGATGAGGATAATCACGTCGTATACTGTTCTCAGTCTCCCAGGTAGCATCAACAGGAGTTGTGCCCTTCTAGATTATTTTAACCAATCTAGTAGTCTTGTTTCTTAATTGCTTGTCCTTGTAATCCACAATCCTTTCCGATTCAACTCTGAATGTCAAATTCTCCTTGAGTGCAATCTCATCGGGTTCAATTATATGGGAAGGATCTGGTTGATACTTCTTCAATTGTGACACATGGAATACATTATGTATACCAACAATTTGGGGCAATAGTGCTACTTGGTATGCTACTAGTCCAAGTCCTTTTAAGATCTCAAAAGGTCCCATAAACCTTAGTGTCAACTTCTTAGCCTTAATAGCTCTTCCAATACCAGTTATCGGAGAGATTTTCAAAAATACACACGGTCACCTACTTCAAACTCAAGCAATCTCCTCCTCTTATCCGCATAACTCTTCTGTCTACTCTGAGTTGTGAGTAATTTTTGCTTGATTAATGCAATCTTTCAGGCAGTCTCATCAACAATGTCCGGCGCCAAAATAGTTCTCTCACTAAATTCCATCCAACACAGTGACGATCTAAATTTTCTTCCATATAATGCCTCATAAGGTGCCATCTAAATGCTAGAGTGAAAACTATTATTTTAGGCAAATTCAGCTAATGGCAAGTGACTATCCCAATTACCTCTAAAGCTCAATGGCACAAGCCCTCAACATATCTTCAAGAGTCTGTATGGTTCGTTCTGTCTGCTCATCGGCCTGAGAGTGGTAAGCCATGCTAAAACTTAGACGAGTACCCATGGCTTCCTGTAATGACTTCCAAAAGTTTGATGTGAACCTTGGATCACGATCAGATATGATATTTGTCGGTACTGCATGCAATCTTACTACTTCTCTTATGTAGATTTCAGTTAATTTCTCAAGAGAATAAGTGATATTGGTAGCAAGAAAGTGAGTCGATTTGGTAAGTCGATCCATAACTACCCATATAGTGTCATGACTAAAAGATGTTCTAAGCAATCCTGTAATAAAGTCCATAGAAATACTGTCCCATTTTCACTTTGGAATATCAAGAAACTGCAGCATTCCGGCGAGTTTTTGATGCTTAATTTTGACTTTCTGACAAGTCAAACAATGAGTTACATGTTCAGTCACATCCCTCTTCATCCCTGGCCACCACCAACCACGTCTTAAGTCATAATACATCTTAGTTGCTCCTAAGTGAATGGTGTATCTACTCTGATGAGCCTCCTCAAGTAGGATATTTTTCAATCGAGCATCATCAGGCACACACACTCTACCCTTATATTTCATGACATTATCATCAGTCACATCAAAATGTTTAACCTTTCCAGCCCCAATCTCTACCCTAATCTTATTCAAATAATCATCCTTCTGCCGCGCAACTTTGATTTCTTCCTAAAATTTATTCTCAAATTCAGTAATGTGCAAAGTAGCTAAACGATTCTCGACTACTTCCACATTTGCTGCATGAAAACTACTCTATAATTCATGTTCTTTGACCATCATGTGAGCGATATGTATAAGCTTCCTGCTCAGTGCATCGGCAACTACATTAGCTTTCCCTGGATGATACTTCAATTCAAAGTCATAATCCTTCAAAAACCCAATCCATCTAAGCTGTCTCATGTTGAGTTCCTTTTGATTAAACAAATATTTTAAACTTTTATGATCACTAAAGACTTCAAAGGATGAACCATAAAGATAGTGCCTCCAAATCTTCAAGGCAAACACCACAGCAGTAAGATCCAAGTCATGGGTAGGATAATTTTTTCTCATGAGGCCTCAACTGTCGGGAGGCATAAGCCACTACTCGATCCTCCTGCATCAATACACAACCTAAACCTTTCTTAGAAGTATCAGTATATAAGATATAAGGAGTAGTTGGAACAGGTAAGGTGAGCACTGGTGTGGTGGTCAACCTCTTTTTTAGCTCCTAGAAGGCAACTTCACACTCGTTCGTCCAAATAAATAGAGCATCTTTCCTGATCAACTTAGTCAAGGGCATTACAATTTGTGAAAAACCCTTGATGAAGCGACGATAGTAGCTTGCAAGACCCAAGCAACTCTTGATTTTTGTCACACTTCAAGATTGTTCCCATTTCATCACTGCATCTATCTTACTGGGGTCCATTGCTACCCCTTCTTTTGAAACAACATGACCTAAGAACTTAACTTCTTTAAGCCAAAAGTCACATTTGCTCAGCTTGGCATAGAGCTTGTGCTCTCTCAATATTTCCAAAACAATTTTGAAATGTCTAGCATGGTCCACCTCATCCCGAGAATAAATAAGTATGTCATCAATAAAGACTACAACAAATTTATCAAGATAAGGCCTGAAGATTTGATTCATATAATCCATAAAGACAGTCGGGGCATTTGTTAATCCAAATGGCATCACAAGGAACTCATAGTGCCCATATCTAGTCCTGAAAGCTGTTTTAGGAGCATCCTCTGCCCTAACCCTCAGTTAATGATACCCTGATCTCAAATCAATCTTAGAAAACATCGCTGAATCAACTAATTGATCTAACAAATCATCAATTCGAGGTAAGGGGGTACTTGTTCTTGATGGTTATCTTATTTTACAATTTATAATCAATACAAAATCTGAGGCTCCCATCTTTCTTTTTCACAAACAGTACCAATGACCCCCATGGCGATACACTGGGTCTGATAAACCCTTTCTCTAGCAACTCTTCAATTTGTCTCTTCAACTCAGCTAACTCTGACGGGGGCATCCTCTAAGGTGCTTTGGAAATAGGTCCCGTATTAGGTATGAGCTCAATTGAGAACTCAACCTCTCGTTCTGGAGGCAAACCAATCACTTCAGTAGGAAAGACATCAAGAAATTCTCTCACTACTGGAATCCAATCCACACCTTCTTCAATCTCTGCCTTGATTGAGAAGAAAACCATAAAAGCTTGACAGCCCCTTTTTATACACTGTTCTACTTGAGCTGTAAATAACATCATAAGACCTTGGGACTCTACAAAGGTTACTGTAAGAGCTGAGAGTGACACACTCTTTTTCTGACAATCAAGTACAGCTCCATTTCCAGACAACCAATCCATCCCCACAATAACCTCAATCTCAGACAAAGACAAACAAATGAGGTCTATAATGGTCTTTCAACCCTCATACTCAACCTCTACATTTAGACATGCCTTAGCAATTCTTACAATCAAACCAGCAGGAGTAAAAATTTTCACATCAAAAGATAAGGTACACACAGGCAATTTACATCTTTTCATACATTCATTAGACACAAAAGAGTACATAGCACCCGAATCAAACAAAGCACAAACATCATTATCAAGAATTCAGATTATACCTCGGATAGCGTTAGGATTGTTAGTAGCCTCCAACTCGAAAAAGGCATACACTCGTGCTGGCACTGTAGGTCTTTAATCATTACCCTTGTTCTTGTTCTGATGGCAGAATCGAGCAATATGACCAGGCTTCTGGTAGATGTAACAAACCCAACAATGACCAAAATGAAACCTCCTACACTTACTGCATGCTTGGTTACTAGCAGCGCCAGAAGTAGGAGTAGAGGTAGATGGGCTCTTGTAGGGCCCCTGACTCCTACTCTATTTTCCTCTGTAGCTCTGACCCTTATGGTAGTAGCTCTTCTTCTTCTGATTTCCAAAGCCTCCAAATTGTTCCTCCGGAAGACTATCCGAAGCTTATTGCACATCTTACTAAATGTTTTGATCTCAAGAGGGGCTAACTGTTCCCTTAGATCAAGCCTCACCTTCTCTAGCAATCGTTCAGCCATCCACTCTGTGTCTTCATGTTTCTGGAGGTAAGTGGAGTATTTAGATAATTCTGCAAATTATTCAATAAATTCAACCTCATCTAGATCACCCTGACGAAACACATGAAACTCAGCCTGCTTTTCTGCTCTCAGTGCAGTAGGAAAATAATTCTCAAACAATATGACTTTAAAATCTTCCCAAGTGAGAGAGGAATCATCCTTCGATCCTGCTGTCTCCCATCACTTCTTAGCACCCTTCTGTAGCAAGAATATCGCCACAACCATACTAAAAATACTCTCCAATCGATCTATCCATTCTTCAACCACCGTTGGCTTAAGATTCCCATCGAAAGTAGGAGGATTGAACTTACGAAAAGTACTCCAAATCTTTGTGATCGTGGATGTCTGCTTTGTGATCGTGGATGTCTGTTGATTAAAGTGCAGACTCTCATTTTTCGAACTAGTCTCATGGTGAGAATAGGAAGGTAAGCCTTCACCAATAGATTAGCTCACATTGTATACCTTGGTATGGCTTCCTTCTTGTTGGCCATTTCCCTCTTGGTTGGCATGTTCCTTCTGTTGCCTTAAAGCGGCCAATTCTTCTTCTTGCCTCTTCATGCAGTCACTAAGATCCCGCAACAGATCCATCATCTGCCTCATGGTTAGCTCCTCCTGCTCTGGTTGTGGCTGTATGGGCTCGCCCTACCCCATTTGTTTATGTATGGGATCCGATTGTGGCCATGTGTCATTTCCCACTGGCTTTATAGAATCACCGACATTTTCACTACCTCTTCTAGTTTTGAACACCATCTCTCCCCTCCTAAAAGATGGAAGCCACACAATTAAGTCAATACTAATCTAAAGACAAGAAAAATAATGGAGAAGTATTATCATTTAATAATGTATATTGTCAATAAACTAGATTAATGTATAACAACTTCACAATTTACAAAAAACTTGAAACATGTAGCTCTGATACCAAGATGTAACACCCTAAATTTTTTTAAAAAAATAATTTAACTCAACCATAGTAGAAAAGTGTCTATCATGGTAAATAGAAGTCAATTTATCCTATATATATTTTTTGAAACAATTCCATGATTTAAAACACTACCATGATAGAAAAGATTAAACCTCCTTTTAAATAATACAAAATAATTTTATACCACTAATATACATTTACAACCATAATTGGGTTACAGCCACCCAACACATTTTATATTAATAAATTTAATATAAAATATTTTATAATTAGTTTAAGCTTACACAATACAACATCTCAGATAAATTTTTACTTCCCACATACATTAGGCTAAAACCACATTTTCCATCCTTGTACTTCCAACAAATGCAAACCATAAACCAATAACTAACAACTTAATCAATTCCCAAAACAAGTCAATTATTTGACCTCATAATCATGCCATTTCAAACCATCCAAAATAAATCAGAGGTCAAAATTACAGTCATCCAAAGTGTACTAAAAGTAAAAATAGTTTAAAGGGCATGATTACATCATTACATTCATCTAATTGTCAATAAACAAAAATTCTAGTATTGATAATATAACACATTAAAAATCATAAATCAAATACCCAAAGGAGACAGTTGACCTATGCCATTATGCCTCAGGGACTCCTCCACGCGCCACTCGTGGCCCTTCTCTTGAAAATTGTTAACCACATAATAAGACTCAAAAGTTTCAGTAACCAATGCCAATTTATGATTGTGTATACAAACAGTTAAATGTGTGTTTACTAAGTGGGGAATTAACAGTCATATAATTCTAACAAAAATACAAGAAATATTACAATACATAACAAACAACCATTCTTTATCTCCCTCCATTAACCTTGAGCCATAGCCCTTACTCAGTGCTAAATTACCCATCCAAAGGTAGATTAGCCCGAGCCTTTACAAGTGATCTATTGGGCTCCAATAGGGGCGTAACACGTGGCACATAAATACAACAACAAAAACAAGTCTCCCAACACCTCCCACACTAATCAAACAAATTCATAACAATATTGTACAATTATACAATATTACAATCTTCATAATTTTCTCATTTTTAACAATATTATAATATGACATCCCACTTGGCAAAAATACTTCAAAATGTAAATCCACAATTTCACAATTTTTTCATAAACATAATAAGGTAATTTCTCAACAAAAATTCATAATTTTCTCAATAATTACCTAATTAACATGAAACAACACTAAACACAAATTAAAAGCACGGTTACCTTGTGGCTTTTTCAATAAATTATTCCTTACAATTTCTCTCCCACCACAATCTTCACCAACACAATCTACAAATAACATATTATTTATAAATATTAATTTCAATAATTGAGACTAATAAAATAACTCTAATAATAGGATTAGAGAATATAACATTAAGTAAAATTTCAATCTTAATACAAACCTAGAGTTAGTACTATTAAGTAAAATTTCTAACTCCTCTTTTAGTCATCAAGAAATATTATTAAGCTAAAATCAACCTCTAAACCAATTTCTATTATTAAAATTTTTCTTTTTATTTCATAAATTCACACTTAAAATATCCAAAAATTGAAAATTGAATCTCAAGCTTAGAATCATCATCTTATAGCCATCATAATCCACTTCTCATTCCAAATAATCATCTAAACCTTAATAAATCAACATATATTTTCGAATTTTATAAAAATCTAGCCTAAGGTTTGATCCATAAGCCTCAAATTTCAAGTTCATCAACAAATTTATACTCTAAAATATTTATTACACTATTAACAACCTCAACAACCACATTTATTCAACAAAAATCAATCCCTCTTTCAGACTCTAGATTTTCTACCACTATAAAATCAGAAACTAAAGAGGAAGGATGGCTAAGAAAAAATTTTAAAACACTTACCTAGTTTTGAAAAGCTTAAAATCACACCCTAAATATCTTATTAAGAAGTCTCACCTTAAAAAAATGCAACCCACAGCACCGGCGAAAACGCATTCTCTCTGTCTCAACTCGCGCACCAGAAAAAGCAGTGAGCAGATGAAGGAAAAGGGGTGTGAGTTTTAAAAAAAAAATACTGTGGGTCCCACCCCTTTTTTTTTCTTTCCTTTCCTTTGTTTGTTTGTTTACACACACACACACACACACCACACTACGCACGCGAAAAAACATCTCCAACCTTTATTCTTTTTTTAAAATATATATTTATATGTGTGTTTGTACATTACATAGCACGCGGAGAAATATCCGCCCCTCCGTTCTACTTTTTTTTATTTTTTTATTTTTTTATTTAATTCCTACACACACACTTATATATATATATATATATATTTACATTTCATTTCTTAGTCTCTCCTATTATATTTCTCTTTCTTTCCTGATGATGATGATGATGATGATGATGATGATCTTTAAAATCTTAACTTAAAATTATATCTTAAGTTATATCTAATAATCATTTCCTACTAATTTATTTACCTCTAAATATTCTCCAAAATTTTTATTAACCCAAATTAACTATTAAAATTTAAATTGGGATGTTACACCACTAAAAAGTACAAGCATCCTCCTACATTTGCAATCTGATGCTTCTTTTCGCCCATTTGTTTCAAATACTCTTCCAACTCATCGCACAAGTCATCTAATATGTATCTTGATCAATTGAAGTCTTTCAATACATTCTTAGTGTAATACATTACCTTAACCATTCGCTCACTAACATTAGCACTAGTACTCAGACATAAAAGTATTCCTAATGTGTACAATAAAAGTAAAAACTCAAAAAGTATTCCTAATGTGTACAATAAAAGTAAAAACTCAAAGTCTTCATCCTCTGCTTCAGATTTAATCCATGTCAATATCTTCCTATATGACATCTTATAATATTTTTCCTTAACCTCAAGAATGCTTTGTCTTGGTCATCCACCTCTATTGACACCCTATCCCCGCCAAAAGGTAATCCCATCAATATGTGAACATCTTCTACTTTCATTTCTTTTGACTTCCCTTTAATGCGAAATTGATGGGTAGGTAAATCATATGAAGATATTAATTGAAAATAGAGTGTTTTCTATCAGATATCAAGCAACACACCAAACCTGATGTTCTCTACCCTAGTTCTTAGGCTCTCATTCCCTTTCACGAACTCTGCAAGCTCTATAAACTGCCTTACAGGACACCTTATATGAAAAGAAACCTTATATTTATTTCCCCCTACATGTCTGTACCATCATATTTATCAAAGCTTAGCATCTTGAATTTTGTAAGAACATCAATTTTTGGGGTTAGGCACAACTCCTTTAAATCTAAGGAACCCCATGTGTTTGATCCTTGAGGAGCCTTTAATTGATCTTTCATTTTTTCAAGTTCTTCTTTCAGCTCCTTCTCTTAGTGTAATACTCTATGGGTTTTGGAACACATAAGCATGATTTTTCCCAAGGGCATCTGGTATGTTAAAGACCCCTATTTCATAATCTTGTTTCTCTAGTATGGGTATTTTAGGATCCAATCCTCCGTTTGGCTCAATCGTTCCATTAGTTGCTCTATCATTCTCATTTGCTCCAATATTCTATGGTGTCATCACTTTTCCCTTTAGTCTCTGTTAATAGCGTTGTTGACTCATTTACATTTGAACTTTCTATGGCACGATTACACAATCGTGTTCTGTATGTTTAAGTGATGGGAATTTAGTTAAACGAGTTTTTCTTTCAAAGCGCAATGTTGGCTTACCTGTTTCACATAATAATTAGTTTTAATAAATCTCACCTTTTACATTTGTTTCATAAGATATCCAGCATTGTGTAGGCAAAAGGGTTTCAAGACACCAACATCCTTTAAATACCTCTAGAAATTCATTATTTCATAAGGAATTTAAAGTTGACCATTGAATTAAAAAGACATTGGATCTTACCAAAATTCAAGGTTTTAAACGAACGATGATAACACAAACTAATCAACAATTTCATTAACCATAAAGTGTCACATAGATTCTCATGCAATGATTCAAATGCTACTACGAATTTCGAACTGTCAAGCTATTGAGTTCTTTTACAATTTCCTGGCACAAATGGAAGAATTGAACAATCTCAACTAGAGTTTCCTCGGGAAGAACCCATGCCTTCAACTTGCTTAAACACTCTTACAAATTTTAGAATTTTGTCATTAGCCAATTCAATCATCTGTCTACATCTTGACATCCATTCTTTGGTTTCTTCTATTCAATCAAGGTAAAGTGCCTTCTACTCCTCTAAGACTTTATTTTGTTGATTAAGCCTCTAAACAAATTTTTGTGCCGTCTCATCTACACTTCCTCTTACCTTGGCTAGTTCATTCACCTTTCTCTCCAATTGTAGTTGAATGTATTAATTTCTTGCTACATCTTCTCAATAGGCCAAATGTCTTATAACTCCTTGAATGCATTTTCCCTGACTATTTTGACAAGACTCACTTTAGTACTTTATACCTTGTCATCAATACTATGCATCTCTCTTTTCAATTTAGCATTTTACCTTTTTAATTTCTTGGTCTTAGGTGTTTCTTCAAAGTTATGTCTTCCTCTTTTCTCTTATAACTTTCTTTGTAATTCAATGCATTCATTTTACCATTTTTTTCAATTATTCTTTATTATTAGACTCCAAGATAGTAAGCTCTTGTAACTCATTTTCCTTCACTTTCAAACGTTCAATCAGTTGCCCATTAATTTCTTTCAAGTCATTACCTAATAAGGAATTTCGAGGAGAGAATGAAGGATTTGCTCCTTGAATCATACCCTTCAACCAAGTGGGTATATTCTGAACTCGAGTTTACTAAACATATCCCTAATTCAATCTTTCCTTTATACCCTATCCTTTGCCATGCTTCTCTAACATTCTGGTTTGACAACTTTGTTCTAACTTCCTCATATAGAAAGTATAACTTTTGTACCTCTACCTTAAAAAGGATGTTTTGCTTGTAAGCTAATTATCTTAATGATAAGAAAGGTTTATAATTGATACACCCTTTAAATCCCATTAAAGGCACATTCGGGAAGTCACCACAATGGTAAATGATCTCTTCTTCCCATTACCAATCTAGTTTCCATAAGATGAAATTTTCTCTAAGATCTATCAAAGTTCTTTTCCAATCCATGCAGCTCGTCCCGTCAATCACCAATTGACCTTTGAAAGACATAAGTAGATTATTATCTGAGTCATTCTTTTTTCTAAAGGGAATTGTCTTTTTGCAAACGTGGCCAAGCATCCATATATCTAGTAGTACAATACAATAGTTGACCTTTCCTTTCCTTCTCTTTTGACATTGAGTTAAGATCAAGTATGTTTTTGTCAAAAATGTTAGTACCGAATTCACATTACATACTCCACCATTTGAAATACACTAATGGCTCCTAAATTAATTATGCCAACTGATGATGGAAACAAGATTATTCCATATATACACAAGCAAAAATCCTACAAAATATAACCCAATCCCCTTTTTCCACCAAAAAAAATCTTAAGTAAGCTTTTATATTAGCTCTTGAGATGCCTTCAGTTTGTCTTGGACATACTATTCGTACTTCTTCCTTAAGAACTCCCATAATTTTTGCTATTGTACCTTGAGATGGAAAATATCCAGGATAAAAGTATATTGCCATATTCTCCTTAAGGAGCATTCTCGAAATTTCTCCATATTCTTCCAAAGTTGGTGTCATTTGGAAGTCAAAAAATGTGAAACATCTCAATAAAGCATCACAATATTGGCTTAATTCAATTACTACATCATTATGTATTGTTATTGATAGAAAATCCAAAATGTTTCCATACTTCTTTTTAAAATCTTGCATGATTTTTCCTCTAATATGATGGCTTAACTCAATCAAAGTTTCCAACGACTCAACTTTTATAATTAATTTGATCCCTTTTCCATGATATAACTTCCTTGTGTGATCTAGATTTGTGCTACCTTCAAGTGCCATTTACCCCTTATGCCGATTTCATAAAGATGCTAGATAACTCATTCCTAATAAACAAAGCAAAGATTAATAACATGCAATTCCCATAATTTTTAATAAGCTATCTAGCTCCTTTTTTAAAAAAATTCACTCCTCCAAACACTTAATACATCATAGGAAAATAAAGTAAACAATTAATCAATGAGATGTTTAAATCCTTACATGATTAACGTTAAAAGGTTTAGCCTTAAAATTTTTTTTTTTGAAAAAAATTAATTTTAGTCATAGATACACTAAGAGAAAATCCCTCTTTTCCTCAATGTGCTTATTGTCCCATAGGGAGAAATGAATAAATTAACTTATGAACAGCTAAAATTGACACATGGCTAAAATCCCAACTTTAAAAGCGAAATAACTCAGTTATCAAATAACAAGAGAAGTTATTTAATTACATTTGTTTTAAAAAAAATGCAAATTCTTCATGATGACATTTATGATATGTTATAATAATGATGCAATAAAAGATCAATGCTCTCATTTTGTATCCTATTCAAGGAAATTTAAGTTTATTTATGTTTGTAATAACTAGGCATTAGCTAAAATGGTTAGCTATTAACTTTCCTCTAAAGCATGTAGCTCCAAATTAGATTTATATTCCTAAGGGATAAAAGATTCTCAAGATAACCTCACCACTTGATGAAGACCTCACTTAATTTTGACCTTTCAAAAACATAAGCTCTACAAGGACCAAATTTATTAAGTAAGCAATTTTGGATGCCAATTTTCATCATATTGTATTGCATGTTTTGCAGGTGTCTCTTTTGTCATCTTCCCCCCAATATAACACACAATCATTTGGACAAACATCAATTTTTTTTATATTTCAATCCTAACTTAATAACAGTCTTTTTTACTTTATAAAATGAAGAAAAAATTTTAACAAATGGAAAGGCATCTAGTAATAATTCCAAAATTATAGATAAAGCTTTGTTACTTATATTACACAAGCATTTAATATGGTGCAATCTAATCAATAATGATAATTTTGAATATTTCCCATACCTATTATATAATTGCTCCTACCCATCTTGTACCAATTCAAAAAATTCTTTAGTCTTTTCATTCATCTTCTAATTTTGATTTTGTGATTATTCTTCAATTTGAATTGAAGTTTCGTTTTCTTCTTACACCCTAAAAGCATCACAAATCAATTCATGAATATGATCACCAACCTCATTCCCTTGTTCTCTATTTCCTTTATTAACAGGGCTATTGGGAGAAGTTACTCTAAATTCATGCTTTTCATCATGTAAAACCCAACATGTATATTTAAGAGAAAATGATTTAGCAAGTAAATGGTTCCAAACCTCCTCTCGAACTTTCCATTTTTTAAAATTACACTTAATGAAGGACAAATTATTTTATCCTCAACACCACTATTAGCCCAAAAAAAAACTAAAAATCCTTTCATACCATTTATATATTTTCTTGCATTGTGAAGTTTAGATATCCAAGATTTATTCATTTTCTATATAAAAAGAATATTTACAACTTATTATATTTAAGCATAAAATTCAAATATATTTTTATTATTTAAATAAGTATAAACAATGTAAAAATAAAAGTTTCAACATTTACAAAATAATTTAAGCCAAGCATAATTTAAAAATAATTTTAAATTTTAAATTATTCAATATATAAAATAAAAAAATGATATAAAAAATTTAAATCTAATAAAATATAACTATGTAAAGTCATGTCATATTTCATCCTAAAAGATCAAAATATTTAATTAATAATTTATCACATCCATAAACATCAAATGTATATTGAAAAAACAAATTAAAAGTTATGCATGATGTTTTAAACATTCATACATTTAAATATAACATTAAATAAAAATAATTTACCTCAAGTATTCAGGGAAATACGAAATATTTGCAGTAAGTTAGAGAATTTATTGAGTGCCTGAAAATATATGAAAACATATAATAAAAATATAACTTAAAAGAATAGGGGGAAAAAATATGCAGAACTGGCACCGGAAAGTGAGAGAGAGAGAGAGAGAGCGAAAATTGAAAATTGAAACGAAAGGTGGCATAGTATCAAACACTTTCAGTGTGGCTGACAGCCACATTTTATGGGAAAAACATGGCTCCGTGAGCCAGCTAATGTCTGACAAAACCTCATTGACACCTTCTTTCACGTTTTCTAAAAAACGTGGCTTTAATTCATCTATATATATATATATATATATTACAGCCACAGTTTTTTTCAAAAAAGTGTGGGATTAACCATGATTTTAAAAAAACCGTAGTGACGTTCTGTGGCTATTGTAACATTTTTTTATAGTGAGTTTTATTTATAGAGTAAAAAAAAATTTAATTATATTTATAGAAAATTTGAAAATTCCCAATGCTCCTCTCTATGTCTTTGTCCTTATTCAATACTTTAAATAAAAACATCATTAATAAAATTTAAAAAAATTTATTAAGGATAAAGATAAAAACTTGATAAATTTTAAGACAAAATTAATGAGATTTAAAATTTTTCTTATTCAAATAAAACATATTAAAAGTGATTTATAAATAAGATATAGCTATACAATTAAACCAAGTAATGAAAAAAACACATTTTAAAGGGACAAAGTTGAATGAAAATTCCTTGTTAAAAAAAAAATCAAATATCCAAAAGTGAAACGAAGCAAGTTTCAAAATAATTTTTTATATCAATAAAAGAAAAAAATGTAAGGATTATTAAATTAGTGAAAAATTTATACTCCTCTGTTTAAAAATATAAGATATTTTTAACATAATCTCAATATTCAATAAAATAGTTATCCACTTTTTAACTAACTTTATCCTTTTATATTTATCTCTATTAAATACCCTACAATAAGTATAAAATTATTATCAATAAAAATACTTAAAAAAAAAGATAATAATTATACTTTCAAATATATTTTTAAATATCTAATATTTTAAAAAATATTTTATATTTGTGAATGGGGGGAAAAAATATGTAGGATAAATGGTGAAGGAAAGCTAACCAAACTTTCCTATCTTATAAGAATAGATAGGAGGGGTACAAGTCAGCTGAGGTTAACCAAACTTTCCTATCTTAATCTCTGCTTTGTTAGATTGAACAATCGTTTTACCAAAATAGCTACATCTACAATTTTGAATTCACATTTTTGTTATCATTTGCGGAAAGCCAGTCAAAGCTTATGAAGTTCCTTTCATTTGAATTGAAGAAGACACTCACGAGTGACTTGCTAGCTGTACTAAAATAACTTGTAAATTTCTATTAAAACGAACCAGCTCAAGATTATATTTTTTTTAATGGGCTGAAAATTTTAAACTAGATTCTCCAACAACAACAAAAATCCATGTAGCATCTATATGCAAATCAAATGTTTGATTGCTGCCAAGTCATCAACTTCACATAAATCTATCATTACGGATCTATCATTTAAAAATTGAATAAATATAAATTAATTTAAATAGGAAGAAAGAGTACCAGTTTAATCAAAGAAATCACAGTTGCGGAAATTGTCGAATAAGCAGCGAATAGGAGCACCATCGCCGATAATCTGACTTTCCATTGCTTCATTATGCTTGAGCTTTGAGGAAGGTACACAGATATCTCCAAAAAATTCATACTGGAAAGTTATTCAATGAAGGTTGTAGGAGCCAAAAATTTTGCTGCTTACATACTGGTATCCTCGTCCCACTGCGAAAGAAGATAAGAAACGAGGCGATGAGAAAAAGCAAGTGTGGCGCCGGCCAGAAGTTCACTCGACGGCGAAGGCGACGACTGAACAGAGGGTCGATGAGGAAGTAGAAAGGCGACTGCGCAGAGAAGAAGGAGCTAAAGAATGAAGATAATGCAGTGTTGTGTTGCTACTGCGGCTAGGGTAAGGTTTATTTGCTGAAGGGTAATTGTGGAATATTGGCAAGAATGTGTGGGTATTTTAGTCAGCAAACAAAGCATTTGGGTTTGCAACGATTATGGGTCAAAGGAAAGGAGCATCCTTCCAGCAGGCCCGTTTGATACTATTAATTGAACCCTTTTTTTTAATCCTTTTCAAGGATTGGAGAATTACTCCGCTCTACTTTATAAAAGGTGAGCCGTAAATGATAAAAGGGTTTTACAAATGAGCTTTTTTTTTAATTATAGTTAAATCAAAAATTAAATTTTAAAACTTTTATATTAGTTACGTTGAAATCTAACCATTAGTAACATTTAATACATTTTGAAGAACTTATTTATCCTTCCACATTTCCTTTTCAAATTTGATATTTATATTATTTGTTACATATATATATATTATTAAAATAAATATAATTAAATTTCTTAGTATTTAAAAATATTTTATTCATTAATACATTAACTCTTTTATTTTTTTATAATTTTAATTTTCATATTTCTTAAATTTATCAAACAAGTTTCAGTTTGTCAAATTAATTTTCTCACAAAAGATTATCCAAACATAAATTATATTATAATAAATGACTTTTAATTCAACTTTAGTTTACAAATTGTAGTTTATATAAGATGTACTTTTACAAATGTTAATCCAATCAAGCTCTTCGTGTTTGCCAAGGTACTAGATGGGAGAGGATTCATTTTCATCCTCTTCTTAATTTGTAGCCATTAGATTTAGATTTGAATGGTTTAGATTTGATATTTAATAAAAAAATTATTTTTTTTATTTTTACTGTATTTTTTAATTATTTGTATTAAATTTCAGCAATTTTAATTTTTTTATAATTTTTAATAATTTAATATGTTAATAATGATCTTATAAGAGATCAAATCTTAATTATTCAAATCTTAATGTAATGGCTAGAGAGGGGAAAAAAGAGAATCCTCTCCTCAGTGGTGGGTAGACGACATATTTCAAGCAATATAATATATCAATAGATACTTCAATAATTAGATGATTATTTAGCTAGAGTGTTGTTTATACTTTTATTCATCTCCAACCTTTCATCCAAGAGGCAGTGGATGATGAAAGAGATCAATTGTAAAATTATATTTTATTGTAAACTCTCTTAAGTTATGAATGCACTTATCCAGTCCAAAAAAAAATAAAAAAAAAACACTTTCAAGAATGGGTTGGAGTATATGGCCACCTCATAGATTAATTCACTTGGGATGCAATTATTTAATTAAAAATACAATTGGTTCTTTTATAGATTATGGTTACCGAAGTGTTGAACAATGCTCTAGTTTTAGGATTTTAATTCAAATTCTAGAGTTTATGGCCATGCTTAATCTGTGTCAATTTTATTTGCATAATGGAGAATTAGTGCAACTTCAATTTGCATAAGAGCCCATAAGACGTCTCTGCTCATCATGTCTAGGCTTTGTTCATAACTCAAGGGGATCGTGTAGTTTCTTTGTCACTTGATGCTTTCTAAATTCATTTCATCAATTGGCCATCATTCTACTGCTATCAAATTTGATTGGATTTCAATGAATTATACTATCAGAAAAGGTGATTGGTTTCGGTGGTAATTATATTGATAGCCACCATGGTGCTCGTTAAAGTCATAAAATCTAAACTATCTAAATTTTAATCTAGATGATTCAAATTTAAAATTTTTATTTATATTTATTAAAGTAAAAATTATAAATATTTTAATTAATTTACTTTATAGATAATGCAAATTTAATTTGAATGATTTAATTTAATATTAAAATTTTTATAATTTTTATAAATTGATTATTTAAATATACTATTGACAATCTATGTCTACTCTTATTTTTTTAGAATTCCTATAAATTTTTATTTTAATAAATATAATATTGAAAATAAAGATAATTTCCAAATTGACACTTTCAAAAAAAATTGCCTTAGAAAAAATTGTGATTTAAAAATTTTAAATATGTACTCTCTAGTGTTCAATAACGATCCAACTAGCCGACTCTATCCAATTCAACAATAGTTTTCAGTTCTTTATTTGTTCAACCCAACTCGACCCTCTAAATAATTTTTTGAAGAAAATCAAACTGCTTTATCATTTGGTCGATGGTCCAACTCATTGAACTATCTCATTTGGTCCAGTTTTCAAAACACCGATGAGAACTACACTTGCCGCTCTGATAAAAAATTTAATGGTATTACCTTCCCAATGCAAGAAGTGATGCCAAAAACAACTCGAGTGCTTAGGTCTAGGCTGCTTGGGAGACACGGGCCCAATCTCTTCCTACTAATATATCTCAACTTCAAGACTTCTTAAGCATAATCCAACATCAAGTATTCCATGCCTGGTCTTAAGTGATTCCTTATAATGGAAGTGGAGATCGATGTTGGTCATGACTTTTAGGAGGACAAGATGGATGATGATGAACTTAGCCTATAAGATCTCCCTTACTTAACCATATTTAACTTCATTAGAGTAATCAAGGGATTAACTCTCAAAGGATTATCAAAGTTGTAAAACTACATAAATGGGAAGAATTTTCAAATAATTTACAATGGGATCCCAAAATTCAATTTCAACTCTAACACACAATTAAAATGCTCAAATCAGAGTTTGAAAAAAATGTGAAAGCTTGAAAATCAAATAGGATCCAAAGCAAAGAGTTTTAAAACTCAAAATTGTATTTTGCATAGAAAATGACCCATGTGCCGCAACTCACTTGCCTCTGTGCCATGCGCCACGGTGCATTGTACAAAAATTATAAATATCAGCTGTCAAAATGACAACACAGGGAGCAAATTTTAAATGCATCCCAAATCTTCGTTCAACGTCCAATTGAGGTGGTTTTTATGTCTATATGGATCTTTCTCCTAGCTCTAGCTAATGACACAAGTTTCACATTCAATTTCATTTTTTTTTTAAAAAAAGTTAGACACCAAAACTCATTTTTATCACTTTTCACATAAAACACACAACTTTGGTATCCTAACTCAACCACAAGTGCCAAAAGCCTACACTAACTCTCCAACCATACTTAATGAACTCTAGTAGACCAGTGCAACATACCATTCACAATCAAAAAAACATATATTCCAAATTCACCACTCAATCCTAATTTTCACAAAACACAAGGGGGAGAAAAATCACGTACAAAACTATCATTTTCATTTCAAATCATTCAAAATACACAAATTCCTACTTGCATAAGTATTTTGACCCTATTCACAAGTTTACAACCAAAACTCACTCACTCAAGATATAAAATACACAAATTGTACACTATAGTAATACAAATAGTATAAAATAATCACATGCGATACTAGTTAGCAAATATACAACATTAACACACAAAAATAGAGTAAAGAGGTATGAAAGTAAAATTTCAACACAATCCTATGCCTCAGAATGTTTTTCCTAAACTAGATCCGATGAGTTAGGCCTTAAAAATATTGAAAATTGTAGGGTAAGTACGACCACTCAATAATTAAGTTTAACCTAATCTATATAGTTGCATATCAATTATAAATATATGTAAATAGGTAAAAAAAATACACAAATACAATATATATGATGGGCTTAGCCATAGTTCATAATACTAACAACCATGTGACTAGGCCCATGGCACATATTCATATCCACAAAATGTCAATACACGTTTTGGGGTTGCAATAATACCAACTATGCGCCCCTAACACTTACCGAACCACAATATTAACAACCATGTGGCTGGATTTAAATACATAATCAAATGCCAACCTTATAACCTCCTCTTACCTCTGACATAAAATTGGTGGCTATCATATGGATACGTCCTTCACAGACTAACCCAGCCTTCCACTTATAATGAGCTATTAGGCCAGGGTTAACTCGCTCACTTGTGTAATCTAATTTCTCCCAATACTAACAACTATGAAGTGTCATACCTCTAATTTAAGCTCCTCATGAATCGGTAGAGACTAGTTAAGTTCGAGTTCCTAATAAAATAAGTGAAACAGTCCCAAATCAACCATGAAACATAGGTTGCCTCTCGATTTTAATGGTCAGTGCCAAGGCAAGTTACCGATTCCAATGATCACTATCAATATCACATGAATTTAAATCAATCAACTCCTCTCCCTAGGCAAACTCTCACCAATGATTATGCTATACACATTTTACACAAAATATGCATTCCAAACAATCAATTAATGGCATATAAACTCATATACTCATACTCATACTCCACATGCTCAACACATTACACATCACAATCTTTTACCCATAATAACATGCCATAATTAAATTTATAAGTCACAAATGGGTGGCATGAAAAAAGTTTTCATTTAGCATACCATTCACAAGTTCATCATTTACCAAAATTGCCTCTATAATTCAAAATACAAATCATAATCCAAAGTAACCCATTTTTAATCAATAACTAATTAATATTTAACTATATAAAGTTAGGTTTCTCCTAGTTACCTTAAACCTTTGAGAGATCAAATGTTTACCCCTCACACAAAACACTTCCAAAGTTTCACACAAACGTGAATGGTCCCATAATGATTCGCACTACAAACATAATACAAGGATACCTTCATGATCCCATTTTGTGAGTTTTTCAACATTAATCTCCACACACTCTATTCTATTAATCCATAAATTTTTTACTATTCATACCTAACGGGTTCATTAGGTTTCATTAATACACATTATCATTAGTAGATCTTCAAACTGCCATTAATGGATACTAAACTCTCCTAAATACCTCATTTATGTTGATTTTCGGACGTTAAATGCTCTACTCAGCTAATCATAAAGAAAATCATTAATATAGCATTTAACCACCTCAAACAACTCCCATTATATCCATTTTATCTAATGAAATCGGACCCATAATTCCTATGGACCGAAAATCACTATTAATGCTTAAACTCTAACTCAAATCTCTATAAATGAGGGAGAGAAA